CCTGAAAACATCAGTTTATCACACCAGGTAAATATAGGGAGGACTAAAGTTGCAAGTATATTTGTTTCTGTATTTTAATAAAATCATTCAATCAAAATGTATAAATTACACAATAAGTAACATTATAAAAAAACTTAAAATCTGAAATCAATAACAAGATCATTTGAAAAAAATGTAGTTAAATAAATAAGGAAATCGATAAAATACGTTGCTTAATAATAAAAAATACAAAGACACGTGATTTGCCCCGTTTGTACTGTCTTGCCTGAACTTGTCTTTGTTAAGTCGTACATTTCATATAATGGCCGCTTTAGACCTCCATAAGAAACGCCAAGATGTCACCAAACCCAAAAACACCAAACCATGCGATGTAAAAATACCCTTTGAGACACAGCTGGAGGCGTGAAGGCAGGTTATTGAACAGAAAGAGAAACTTGGTGAACGTGTGTTTATGATGCAAACTGATCAATACTGAAGATCAATACAGCATTACAAATGTACGCACATTTCAGCTTTAATTGACTTTTTCACCCCTTAAAAAACAGACTGAACTAGACAGGAGAGAGAGAGGTGAATCCCCCTGTGGGGTTAATTCCAATTATAACTTTCACCACATTCATTAGGGTGATGTTAGTTATCAATTAAGAAGTTATCAATGAAGAAGTTATCAATTAAGAAGTTATCAATGACGTCAGTAAGGTTTGATCAGACAACTGCAATTCGATTTTCATCCATTGTCCTAAACTAAATTAAAATCGATCCGCCGTTGGCCAGGTTATTTAATTATAAGTTGTTATAATAATAGTAGTAGCAATAGTAATATTGGTGTCTGTGTTGATGTCACAGTGTTGTTGTTGTTGTTGTTGTTGTTGTTCCTCTCACCTGGACGTGATGAACTCGATGAGAGCTTTGACTTTCTCGTCTTGTTCTGCAGAAGCGTCGACCTCGCTGATCAGCGGGGGGGCGAGGTGCGTCACCCCCCCCACCCCGAGGCCGGAGGAGGTGGAGGAGGAGCTGAGGCCGGAGCCTGTCATGGGGGAGGGGAGCAGCTCCTGCACGCCTGAAACAACAACAACAACAACACACACTCAGTGAGGAGTAACCCTTCATAGAAAACATCTCATCTGAGTCTTTAGGAGCTTCTGGTAACATCTCATCTGAGTCTTTAGGAGCTTCTGGTAACATCTCATCTGATGCAGAGTCTTTAGGAGCTTCTGGTAACATCTTATCTGATGCACAGTCTTTAGGAGCTTCTGGTAACATCTCATCTGATGCAGAGTCTTTAGGAGCTTCTGGTAACATCTCATCTGATGCACAGTCTTTAGGAGCTTCTGGTAACATCTCATCTGATGCACAGTCTTTAGGAGCTTCTGGTAACATCTCATCTGATGCACAGTCTTTAGGAGCTTCTGGTAACATCTCATCTGATGCAGAGTCTTTAGGAGCTTCTGGTAACATCTCATCTGATGCAGAGTCTTTAGGAGCTTCTGGTAACATCTCATCTGATGCACAGTCTTTAGGAGCTTCTGGTAACATCTCATCTGATGCACAGTCTTTAGGAGCTTCTGGTAACATCTCATCTGATGCAGAGTCTTTAGGAGCTTCTGGTAACATCTCATCTGATGCAGAGTCTTTAGGAGCTTCTGGTAACATCTCATCTGATGCACAGTCTTTAGGAGCTTCTGGTAACATCTCATCTGATGCACAGTCTTTAGGAGCTTCTGGTAACATCTTATCTGATGCACAGTCTTTAGGAGCTTCTGGTAACATCTCATCTGATGCACAGTCTTTAGGAGCTTCTGGTAACATCTCATCTGATGCAGAGTCTTTAGGAGCTTCTGGTAACATCTCATCTGATGCACAGTCTTTAGGAGCTTCTGGTAACATCTCATCTGATGCAGAGTCTTTAGGAGCTTCTGGTAACATCTCATCTGATGCACAGTCTTTAGGAGCTTCTGGTAACATCTCATCTGATGCAGAGTCTTTAGGAGCTTCTGGTAACATCTCATCTGATGCAGAGTCTTTAGGAGCTTCTGGTAACATCTCATCTGATGCAGAGTCTTTAGGAGCTTCTGGTAACATCTCATCTGATGCACAGTCTTTAGGAGCTTCTGGTAACATCTCATCTGATGCACAGTCTTTAGGAGCTTCTGGTAACATCTCATCTGATGCAGAGTCTTTAGGAGCTTCTGGGACTTTGGTTACAATTTAAACTCAAGCACAGTTTGGTCCTCCTGTGTGTTGGTTGTTGCTGCCACCTAGTGGTCTGCTCTGGTACTACAACACAGGAGTTTTCAGATACGCCGACCTGTGAGGTTCATCTCTCACCTGTGAGGTTGCTCTCTCACCTGTGAGGTTCATCTCTCACCTGTGAGGTTGCTCTCTCACCTGTGAGGTTCATCTCTCACCTGTGAGGTTGCTCTCTACAGCTTCTCTCACCTGTGAGGTTCATCTCTCACCTGTGAGGTTGCTCTCTACAGCTTCTCTCACCTGTGAGGTTGCTCTCTCACCTGTGAGGTTGCTCTCTCACCTGTGAGGTTCATCTCTCACCTGTGAGGTTCATCTCTCACCTGTGAGGTTCATCTCTCACCTGTGAGGTTCATCTCTCACCTGTGAGGTTCATCTCTCACCTGTGAGGTTGCTCTCTACAGCTTCTCTCACCTGTGAGGTTGCTCTCTCACCTGTGAGGTTGCTCTCTCACCTGTGAGGTTCATCTCTCACCTGTGAGGTTCATCTCTCACCTGTGAGGTTCATCTCTCACCTGTGAGGTTCATCTCTCACCTGTGAGGTTCATCTCTCACCTGTGAGGTTGCTCTCTACAGCTTCTCTCACCTGTGAGGTTCATCTCTCACCTGTGAGGTTGCTCTCTCACCTGTGAGGTTCATCTCTCACCTGTGAGGTTCATCTCTCACCTGTGAGGTTCATCTCTCACCTGTGAGGTTCATCTCTCACCTGTGAGGTTCATCTCTCACCTGTGAGGTTGCTCTCTACAGCTTCTCTCACCTGTGAGGTTCATCTCTCACCTGTGAGGTTGCTCTCTACAGCTTCTCTCACCTGTGAGGTTCATCTCTCACCTGTGAGGTTGCTCTCTACAGCTTCTCTCACCTGTGAGGTTGCTCTCTCACCTGTGAGGTTGCTCTCTCACCTGTGAGGTTGCTCTCTCACCTGTGAGGTTGCTCTCTACAGCTTCTCTCACCTGTGAGGTTGCTCTCTACAGCTTCTCTCACCTGTGAGGTTGCTCTCTACAGCTTCTCTCACCTGTGAGGTTGCTCTCTCACCTGTGAGGTTGCTCTCTACAGCTTCTCTCACCTGTGAGGTTGATGTCGGGGGCGGGGGGCTTCACGGTGAGGACTCTGGGCTCGTTGTAGTCTCTGTTCCTCAGCAGCACCATGGCCACTGACTGCACACTGCTGTTAGCTCCCTGAACCACCAGCAGGTGGAGCAGCAGGCGCTTACAGTGCTCGTACACCTCGGGGTGCTGGTGGTCAAACCCTGAGGAGGAGGAGAGTGAGGTCAGTTAATACGGTTTCCTTTTACCTTTAGTACGGACTAATCCTTGAAAAAGAGACAAATTAATTGTAAATAAGTAAAGTAAAAGAAGTGAAGAGAGAGAAAGATGGATTAACCTGTGGGATTAATCGCGATTATAACTTTCACCACATTAATTAGGGTGACGTTAGTTATCAAAAGAAAAGTTATCAATTAAGTCGGTAAGGTTTGCTCAGACAAAGTCTTTAATTAGATTAAAGTAGAGTAGTACTGCCTACTAAGCCCTTACAGACAAAGCACTGTTGCATGCTTTGTGCTCATATAACCCCCTATAGCCTAATGTATAAAGAACATCCTGGAGCTTCTGGCCCACTTTCATATGATGTAGGGCAGTGTTTCTCAGAGTGTGTAGTTGTGTTTGTATTGTGGATTTAATGTGTGGACGAGGCGATGTAGAGAGGTTAAGCTGTCATTTGATATAAACTGTTGGAGTGGTGAGCAGGCCTTTTGTTTCTGGATATTTGGGGAGTGTCCTTGGTATGAGCAGGTTTGAGACACGCTGATGTAGAGGAACATGGTACTTGGTTCCTGTCATACTAAACAGTATGGTAGTGCCCACAGCTCACCTATAAAGATGGCGTGCAGCAGGAGGTGCAGGTAGGCGTTCCACTCCACTTTCACCCCGTGGTCCACGATGAGGTCTGTGAGGAGGATCACTGCGATGTTACACCTGCAACACAAATATACAACGTTCATAGTAAGCACAGGAAATAAAGTATGAGCTGTCGGCTAACGTGGTCAAAACGACTCGATCTCCGACCAGGCGAACTCATCCCCGTGCTGAGGAGATATTCAACCATCAGTTCAATGAGAAGAACGAACAGGAGAACGAACGTTTGTAATCTGATTACTTTGAACAGTCAGGGTTTGTTACTACATGTTATCGCTTTTTGGATCTGTAAGACCCGAGTGAGTGAGGTGTATTGTTGCCTAAAATATTTACCCAATTACAACTTTTTTCTCAGATTCTTGCCTTACAGTAAGCACAGGAAACAAAGGGGGGGTGGGAGGGTGTTACCTGTGCAGCGGCACCCCGGGGGCGTTGGTCTCCGGCAGGTAGTCCACCAGAGGAGACCAGCAGCCTCCGGTGGGGGGGAAGGGAAGAGGCTCGGGCCGGTTGTGGTCCATCACCTTCAGACGCCAGTTAGCATACAGCGGCATGGAGTCACCTGAGGGAGGGAGGGGGGAGGGAGGGAGGGGGGGGGGGGGGGGGGCACAGAGGAGTTTAGATTCTAAGATATCCTGTTATAGTTTAATCACAATCAGAAATACTACTCTCACAGAGGGGACAGAAAAGAGCCAAAGACAGCTTAATGTTACCTAAAGAGCATGCTTAAACAAATATTAAAGATTACAAAAATAACACAAGCAGCCAGGTATGTATTGCACAGTTATTAACGGCATATATATATATTGCACATATTGCACATAGTTGGTATTTAACAACAAGGCGTGTTATAGGAGTGTGTGTGGGCTCTACAAGATGTCCTCTTACTCTTCTCCTCCTCGTAGGACCCTCCGGAGCTGCTGCTGTATCGAGACTCCAGGCGGTGGTGCTGCCGGTTCAGATTACTGTTCAGACCGCTGTAGATGTCCAGGTGGGTGTAACTGCACACAAAACACAGCGGGGGTTTAATCAAATGAAAATGGAGCACTACTCATGTTCCCCCCCCCCGTGTCTGTGTTTCCTGCTGACGTCATGTTTCCTGTGTGTCGTACCTTTCCTCCATGTTGGGGTCTTTCAGCTTTACGTCGTGATGCCCTTCGGTGTTGGGCACCATGGTGTTGCTGCTGGAGGTCGTTCCTGAGGAGAGACAAGCAATAACAAAACAGTTCAGAATCAGGAGGCAGATTATCGTCCACCAATCAGTGTGACCGTGCTGAAGTTCCTTTATAGCCCAACATTAGCCGCCTTTAGCTTAGCGGTGGTGACGTGAAGTCATGTGACCGTGCTGAAGTTCCTTTATAGCCCAACATTAGCCGCCTTTAGCTTAGCGGTGGTGACGTGAAGTCATGTGACCGTGCTGTAGTTCCTTTATAGCCCAACATTAGCCACCTTTAGCTTAGCGGTGGTGACGTGAAGTCATGTGACCGTGCTGTAGTTCCTTTATAGTCCAACATTAGCCGCCTTTAGCTTAGCGGTGGTGACGTGAAGTCATGTGACCGTGCTGTAGTTCCTTTATAGCCCAACATTAGCCACCTTTAGCTTAGCGGTGGTGACGTGAAGTCATGTGACCGTGCTGTAGTTCCTTTATAGTCCAACATTAGCCGCCTTTAGCTTAGCGGTGGTGACGTGAAGTCATGTGACCGTGCTGTAGTTCCTTTATAGCCCAACGTTAGCCTCCTTTAGCTTAGCGGTGGTGACGTGAAGTCATGTGACCGTGCTGTAGTTCCTTTATAGCCCAACATTAGCCTCCTTTAGCTTAGCGGTGGTGACGTGAAGTCATGTGACCGTGCTGTAGTTCCTTTATAGCCCAACATTAGCCGCCTTTAGCTTAGCGGTGGTGACGTGAAGTCATGTGACCGTGCTGTAGTTCCTTTATAGCCCAACATTAGCCTCCTTTAGCTTAGCGGTGGTGACGTGAAGTCATGTGACCGTGCTGTAGTTCCTGTATAGCCCAACATTAGCCTCCTTTAGCTTAGCGGTGGTGACATGAAGTCATGTGACCGTGCTGTAGTTCCTTTATAGCCCAACATTAGCCACCTTTAGCTTAGCGGTGGTGACGTGAAGTCATGTGACCGTGCTGTAGTTCCTTTATAGCCCAACATTAGCCACCTTTAGCTTAGCGGTGGTGACGTGAAGTCATGTGACCGTGCTGTAGTTCCTTTATAGCCCAACATTAGCCGCCTTTAGCTTAGCGGTGGTGACATGAAGTCATGTGACCGTGCTGTAGTTCCTTTATAGCCCAACATTAGCCACCTTTAGCTTAGCGGTGGTGACGTGAAGTCATGTGACCGTGCTGTAGTTCCTTTATAGCCCAACATTAGCCACCTTTAGCTTAGCGGTGGTGACGTGAAGTCATGTGACCGTGCTGTAGTTCCTTTATAGCCCAACATTAGCCACCTTTAGCTTAGCGGTGGTGACGTGAAGTCATGTGACCGTGCTGTAGTTCCTTTATAGCCCAACATTAGCCACCTTTAGCTTAGCGGTGGTGACGTGAAGTCATGTGACCGTGCTGTAGTTCCTTTATAGCCCAACATTAGCCTCCTTTAGCTTACCTGTGGTGACGGAGGGGATCTTGTAGCTGGAGGTGATGCGGTAGTATGGAGGGTTGTCCATGTGAGTGACGGCTGAGCTAACAGGCTCCGTGCTCTCCAGCTCAAACATCAGCTCCTCCAGCAGCTGCATGGTCTTATCCCGACCCAGATACACCACCACACGCTTCACCTGAGGACACACACACACACACACACAATGCATGATGGGAGACACCTTTAAGGGCAGGATGTAGACCTTCCTCTGTGATAAAGCTTATAGATTAACGTGCAATTCCGTATCTGCCACTACGGTTTGTGGTATTGGGATATATGAGTAAAGCTTAATTGATTAATTGATGTAGCATTTGGACTCACGTATAGCAGGAGGCTGGGGTCGCTGCTGACCCCCGACATGCTGGTGAGGAAGTGCAGGATGATCTTCAGGTTCTTCGGCCAGCTGTCGGCTAACGTGGTCCAAACGTTCTCGATCTCCGACCAGGCGAACTCATCCCCGTACTGAGGGGATATTTAATGATTCAGGATTCATTTATAATAAAATTAACAGGCTCATAGCAACTCAACGATATTATAAAATGTGACCTATCAGTTCAATGAGATGAACGATCAAACGTTTGTAATCGGATAACTTTAAACAGTCAGGGTTCGTAATAAAATGTAATTAATTATTTATTTTGTTCACTTTCTGGCTCTGTAAGACCTCAATGAGGGAGGTATTTTGGTCCCCAAAATATTTACCCAATTACAACTTTTTTTTCAGAAATTACTTTTTTAAATTGCATTTATTCTACTTTTTTCCTCAAAACTGTGTTTTCTCTCAGAGTTGAATATTTTCCACAACTGACTATTTTTTTTTATAGAATTTGGTATTTTTTCTCAGAACTGTTTTTTTTCCTCCCTCTCCTCTCTACCTAAGAAAATTAACCAATTACAACTTTTCTCTCAGAAATATATATTTTTTTGAAGTTGACTTTTTTCTCAGAGCTTGGGATTTTTCAGAAATGTCTCTTTTTTACCAAATTCTTCTTTTTTCTCTCAGAATGTTGAGTTTTACTTTTCGCATTTTTTGTATTTCAATTTTTTTCAGAATTCAGAATGTTTTTTTCAGAATTCTCAGAAAATACTTTATCTCAGAATTTTGCATTTTTTCCAGAATTGTCTGTTTCTTAGAATGTTTAAAAAAAAAAAATGTTTCCTCAGGCTTCAGTTTTTTCTGAGAATTAACTTTTTTTTTTTTTTACAGAATTCAGAAATCTGTTCTCTGCTAAGTGTTCACCAGAGATGTGCTGATAAGAAATGGATTAAGACATGTTGTGATGGAGCATTTCTCCAGCTGTAGATCTGCAGCGTCCCTCTCACCTTGGCGGTCATGAACATGAGGTTGTTGAGCACCATGGTGGTCGCTCGAGGTGAACCCCAGCCTTCTCCTCTCAGCCAGCGCCGGCTGTTCACCATCATCGTCTCACGCTCCTCTTCCTCTTCCTCAGCGCTGCCGCCCTCCTCCGCCCGCCTCGTGGTGGGCTTCAGATCCACCAGCTCCACGTTGTTCATCCACGGCAGCAGGTAGTGCAGCATCACCTGCCGGCCACCAGGGTGCGCTGTCTGGATCCGCTGACTCACCTCTGGAGGACAGGAAGTCAGAAAGTTAGAGAGAGACAGGAAGTCAGAGCGTTAGAGAGCGACAGGAAGTCAGAGCGTTAGAGAACGACAGACTCTGAGCGGACAGGAAGTCAGAGAGTTAGGGAGAGGATGATGGAGGTGTGGAGCTTCAGACCTGAGAAGATGGGCAGCGTGAGCTCGGGATAGGTCCGGGCGAGTTCCTCTGACAGCTGGTAGTAGGAGACGGAGTAGAGGTGAGGCAGCGGGGAGGGGGGGGTCAGGATGCCGTCGCCTCTCTGGATCTCCAGTTTGTGGGCGTACCTGAAGAGCTTCGGCTCCAAGATCTGTCACGACATGATTATTAATTACAGATGCGTTATGATCCCATGAGATCTGGTTGAAAGGAAAAGTTAAGTACTTCTTAAACTGCTGTGACTATGTACACCTTTTAGGATAATGTTGCTACTGCCCAATTGTTTTTATTTACATTACACAAATATTTTAAAATGATATATTTCAATTTTATTTTTTTCAAATGTCTTTTCTTTGCCTTTGTTTTTCAACTTTTTGATGCAAGTTAGAGTTTGAGAGGATGCGTGTACCTGCAGCAGCTGCATGGCCGCCTCGTAGATGTCTCTGGAAGAATCAGCAGCTTTGAACAGGATCAGGTTCAGAAGCACCACCGTGTCAAACTGGTAATCCCTGAGAGGAGGAACAGAAACACACATCAGTCACAAGCGGCTCTGAGACTCAATCTGTTGGTCCATAGGCTGGTGAAGACTACAATGAGACGTCACACACACACACTGGGAACATATGGTTTATAACCAACACTAAAAAGAATCTTAAAACTAGATTTAAGATTCATTTATTCAATGCCTTTTTAAAGTATCTAAACAAGTTTACAAGAGGCTGCACAATTGACTCTATTTAGTCTCAGTCATCGAGTGTCCTGTGTCTGTGTTCAAGGTTCAAGGTTCTTTATTGTCAAACTAACATAGCTACAGAGTAATTATGTTGTTTAGGTCACAGGCTTCTCCAACAATGCAACACAATACAATGTGTGTGTGTGTGTGTGTGTGTGTGTGTGTGTGAGATTGTCTGTGTGTGTCTGTGAGTGTGAGTGTGAGTGTGAGTGTGAGTGTGAGTGTGTGTCTGTGTCTGTGTGTGTGTGTGTGAGATTGTCTGTCTGTGTGAGTGTGAGTGTGAGTGTGAGTGTGAGTGTGAGATTGTCTGTCTGTGTGTCTGTGAGTGTGAGTGTGAGTGTGTGTGTGAGATTGTCTGTCTGTGTGTCTGTGAGTGTGAGTGTGAGTGTGTGTGTGAGATTGTCTGTCTGTCTGTGTGTGTGTGTGTGTTACCTGTTGTGGAACACGTTAGCGATGGCCCTGAAGCAGCCTGCAGCCACACGGCGGGCCCCGGTGTAGCAGCGGTCCACGGCCCAGAACATCAAGTTACTCTGATCTGGGTTCAGCTCCAGGAGCAGCATCACCGCCTCGCAGCCCAGCTGGTGCACCTGAGGAGAACCAGTGCTTTAGGATCTCTGTCTAACAACTCCTACTATGACTTTAGGATCTCTGTCTAACAACTGCACACTCCTACTATAACTTTATAACCAGTACTCGTTCACATGGGTCTGCTCAGACCATCAGAAACATGTCAGTGATAATTAAAGATGGCAGCTCTCACCTTCTTGTCCTGAGAGTCCAGGATGTTGTCGAGCCACTTGTAGAGGTATCCATCAGAAGAGAGACCCACGTTGTCAGCGACAGGACCGCAGCACAGCACCGCAGACATCGCCTGAGGAACAACAACACGGTTACCAGTCAGTATGGATTCTAAACAGTGGTGGAGTGATGTTGTATTTCTGTGTTGGACCCTGAAGGCAACATCTATGGGCTATAAAGTAACTACAGCACGGTCACATGACTTCACGTGTGTATTAGTACCTTGAGAGCGCAGTACTGGTGGCGGTTGATCTGCATGTTGCGGTCGCTGTATCGGTCCAGAGGAGTGAACATGATGCTGAAGGGTCCGGCCCAGTGGCTGAACAGCATGAACAGACTGTGTCTGAGGGACTGCTGCGGGAAGATGGTCCTCCTCTGGTGCACTGCACACACACACACACACACACACACACACACACACACACACACACACACACAACACACATCACACACACACACACACACACACACACACACACACACACACACACACACACACACACACACACACACACACACACACACACACACACACACACACACACACACACACACACACACACACACACACACACACACACACACACACACACACACACACACACACACACACACACACACACACACACACACACACACACACACACACACACACACACACACACACACACACACACACACACACACACACACACACACACACACACACACACACACACACACACACACACACACACACACACACACACACACACACACACACACACACAATGAGTATTGGTCAGTTTATAGTCAGTATGAATTGTTTGATCTAAACAGTGATAGGTAAGTGATCAGTACCGGGGACGTTCTGGATGATGTTGGCCACCAGCGCGCTGAAGTGGCAGCGGATGTCCTTCAGGGTGTCTGAGTCTTTGTCGTTCTCGGCCTCCAGCAGCTGCCGGGTCAGATCCACGTACTCCAGCAGCGCTCCGTTCAGAGAGTGGCTCTCTGCATCCAGACCCCCGCTGGCTCTGTGAGAGCAACACAGGAGCATCTTCATTAGTATCACCGTATCAATATATATATATAAGACGACCCGATTATAAGACGACCCCGATTATAAGACGACCCCGATTATAAGACGACCCCGATTATAAGACGACCCCGATAATAAGACGACCCCGATAATAAGACGACCCCGATAATAAGACGACCCCGATAATAAGACGACCCCGATTATAAGACGACCCCGATTATAAGACGACCCCGATTATAAGACTCTCTTTTTCATGACTAACTTTTGGAAAACAACTTTTTTTTAAGATCAAATCTTGTTTTTCAGTCACGTATTCAAACACCCTCCTGTTAACCTCCGGGAAGCCTTTGCGGACCGCGGATTGCTTTTCTCTGACTGTTTACATTTGAAAGGCGGTCTTTTTTTTCTCCATCTTCTCACGCTACTCTCAGTAACACCACATTTCTTTGCTGCTCAACGGTTGTTTGATGACTCTGCTTCGTTGATCACCATTATCTTCAAATTGGCATCCTAACTTCGCCTCTCTTGTTTAATAACTTTTGATCCACTTTGTTGGAGTTGGTCTCTGTGTCTCTCCATTTCTCTCTCTCCTGTTGTACTGTTGCTTTAAGACGTCTCTCTCTTGGGGGAACACTCGTTTGGCGCCATCTGTTGGTGTGACTGTGTAATTACATCGACAAGTCTAGACCCCGAATGTAAGACGAGCCCTCTTTTTCAGATTTCTGTTACATTCGGGTCAAAGCAGTAAACAGAAAGCATGGGGCAGGATGGTAACTTCATGCCAGGATTACTGCACAATGTCTCGCCTGCAAACAACCATTTATTAGCTAATCATTGTTGCAAGTGAGACAGTGAGCAGGTCCAGCATCCTCCTGCTCTCTGACACCAGTCTAATGAAAGTGAACTGATCCCTGATCACACTGAGGGTAACGTACATCTGACTGACGACTCCAGCGTCAGCGAGCAGCTCGAAGATCCGGACCAGCTGGACCCGGAGAACGTCCCGGCGCCGGCGCCGCTTCATGTTCTGCACGGGGAACAGATACAAGTATTTTAATCAAACTCTGGAAACATCATGGAGAGAGAAGAACGCTTTGACACAGGAAACAGAATCAAGTGTTTACTGAGACTCAGACCAGTGGAGGAGCTGCAGGAGACTCACCTCAGGCCTCCTCTCTAAAGCTTCTTTGATGATGGGGTTCAGCTCCTCTATCAACTCTCTGCAGGAAACACACGCGTAAATAAACCAGTTCAGCACAGAGTCATGTTCAGTACAGAGTCATATTCAGCCAGCTCACGTTCAGCACAGAGTCATGTTCAGCACAGAGTCATGTTCAGCACAGAGTCATGTTCAGTACAGAGTCACGTTCAGCACAGAGTCACGTTCAGCACAGAGTCATGTTCAGCACAGAGTCATGTTCAGTACAGAGTCACGTTCAGCACAGAGTCACGTTCAGCACAGAGTCACGTTCAGCACAGAGTCACGTTCAGCACAGAGTCACGTTCAGCACAGAGTCATGTTCAGCACAGAGTCATGTTCAGTACAGAGTCATGTTCAGCACAGAGTCATGTTCAGTACAGAGTCATGTTCAGTACAGAGTCATATTCAGCCAGCTCACGTTCAGCACAGTCATGTTCAGTACAGAGTCACGTTCAGCACAGAGTCATGTTCAGTACAGAGTCATGTTCAGTACAGAGTCATGTTCAGTACAGAGTCATGTTCAGCACAGAGTCATGTTCAGTACAGAGTCATATTCAGCACAGAGTCATGTTCAGTACAGAGTCATATTCAGCCAGCTCACGTTCAGCACAGAGTCATGTTCAGCACAGAGTCACGTTCAGCACAGAGTCACGTTCAGCACAGAGTCACGTTCAGCACAGAGTCACGTTCAGCACAGAGTCACGTTCAGCACAGAGTCACGTTCAGCACAGAGTCATGTTCAGCACAGAGTCATGTTCAGCACAGAGTCACGTTCAGCACAGAGTCACGTTCAGCACAGAGTCATGTTCAGTACAGAGTCACGTTCAGCACAGAGTCACGTTCAGCACAGAGTCACGTTCAGCACAGAGTCACGTTCAGCACAGAGTCACGTTCAGCACAGAGTCATGTTCAGTACAGAGTCATATTCAGCCAGCTCACGTTCAGCACAGAGTCATGTTCAGTACAGAGTCACGTTCAGCACAGAGTCATGTTCAGCACAGAGTCACGTTCAGCACAGAGTCATGTTCAGCACAGAGTCATGTTCAGTACAGAGTCACGTTCAGCACAGAGTCATGTTCAGCACAGAGTCACGTTCAGCACAGAGTCATGTTCAGCACAGAGTCATGTTCAGTACAGAGTCACATTCAGCACAGAGTCACGTTCAGCACAGAGTCATGTTCAGTACAGAGTCATATTCAGCACAGAGTCATGTTCAGTACAGAGTCACATTCAGCACAGAGTCACGTTCAGCACAGAGTCATGTTCAGTACAGAGTCATATTCAGCACAGAGTCATGTTCAGTTACAGAGTCATATTCAGCACAGCTCACGTTCAGCACAAGTCATGTTCAGTACAGAGTCATGTTCAGCACAGAGTCATGTTCAGCACAGAGTCATGTTCAGCACAGAGTCATGTTCAGCACAGAGTCATGTTCAGCACAGAGGTCATGTTCAGTACAGAGTCATGCTTCAGCACAGAGTCATGTTCAGCACAGAGTCATGTTCAGCACGAGGCCAGTCATGTTCAGCAACAGAGTCATGTTCAGTACAGAGTCATGATTCAGTACAGAGTCATATGTCAGCACAGAGTCATGTTCAGCACAGAGTCTCACGTTCACGCTACCGAGTCACGTCAGCACAGAGTCACTGTTTCTCAGTACAGAGTCACGTTCAGCACAGAGTCACGTTCAGCACAGAGTCACGTTCAGCACAGAGTCACGTTCAGCACAGAGTCACGTTCAGCACAGAGTCACGTTCAGCACAGACATGAGTCACGTTCAGCACAGAGTCACGTTCAGCACAGAGTCACGTCAGCACAGAGTCACGTCAGCACAGAGTCACGTTCAGCACAGAGTCACGTTCAGCACAGAGTCATGTTCAGCCAGCTCACGTTCAACACAGAGTCACGTTCAGCACAGAGTCACGTTCAGCACAGAGTCACGTTCAGCACAGAGTCACGTTCAGCACAGAGTCACGTTCAGCACAGAGTCATGTTCAGCCAGCTCACGTTCAACACAGAGTCACGTTCAGCACAGAGTCACGTTCAGCACAGAGTCACGTTCAGCACAGAGTCACGTTCAGCACAGAGTCACGTTCAGCACAGAGTCACGTTCAGCACAGAGTCACGTTCAGCACAGAGTCACGTTCAGCACAGAGTCATGTTCAGCCAGCTCACGTTCAGCACAGAGTCATGTTCAGCCAGCTCACGTTCAACACAGAGTCACGTTCAGCACAGAGTCATGTTCAGCCAGCTCACGTTCAGCACAGAGTCATGTTCAGCCAGCTCACGTTCAGCACAGAGTCACGTTCAGCACAGAGTCACGTTCAGCACAGAGTCACGTTCAGCACAGAGTCACGTTCAGCACAGAGTCACGTTCAGCACAGAGTCACGTTCAGCCAGCTCACGTTCAACACAGAGTCATGTTCAGCCAGCTCACATTCAGACATTTAATGAACTTAGTATTCCAGATAATGATGAGTCAGAAAGAGCTGTGTTTCAGGGACTGATGAGCTATTGGAAGTGTGTTAGAGTTGCATATATTCAGTTGTAGGTGTGTGAGGTGTGTGTGAGGTGTGTGTGTGGTGTGTGTGTGAGGTGTGTGTGTGAGGTGTGTGTGTGAGGTGTGTGTGTGGTGTGTGTGGTGCGTGTGTGAGGTGCGTGTGTGTGGTGCGTGTGTGAGGTGTGTGTGTGTGAGGTGCGTGTGAGGTGTGTGTGTGGTGCGTGTGTGAGGTGTGTGTGAGGTGTGTGTGAGGTGTGTGTGAGGGGTGTGTGAGGGGTGTGTGAGGTGTGTGTGAGGTGTGCGTGTGAGAGGGTGTGTGAGGTGTGTGTGAGGTGCGTGTGAGGTGTGTGTGAGGTGTGTGTGGGTGTGTGTGAGGGTGTGTGAGGGGTGTGTGAGGTGTGTGTGGTGTGTGTGAGGGGTGTGTAAGGTGTGTGTGTAGGTGTGCGTGTGAGGTGTAGGTGTGTGTGAGGGGTGTGTAAGGGGTGTGTGAGGTGTAGGTGTGTGTGAGGTGTAGGTGTGTGTGAGGTGTAGGTGTGTGTGAGGTGTAGGTGTGTGTGGCGGTTCGGTGTGTGTGAGGTGTAGGTGTGTGTGAGGTGTAGGTGTGTGTGAGGTGTGAGGTGTGTGTGAGGTGTAGGTGTGTGTGAGGTGTAGGTGTGTGTGAGGTGTAGGTGTGTGTGAGGTGTATGTGTTGTGTGCGGTGTAGGTGTGATGTGGGTGAGGTTTTGTGACGTGTATGGTGTGAGGTGTAGGTGTGTGTGAGGTGTAGGTGTGTGTGAGGTGTAGGTGTGTGTGAGGTGTAGGTGTGTGAGGTGTGTGTACCTGAAGGCCAAGGGGTTGGTCCTGCCGAGCCCGAGCACCAGAGACTCCGTGACGTCCATACTCTCCGAGCGCATCATGGGGACAATGTGCTTAAACAGGGAGGAGGGGGAGGGGGAGCCCACTATCTGCAACACACAAACAAAAACAACAACAACATCAATACATGTTTATCGTTAGTAAAATCCTGAATGTCCTCTCCAACATGAGCAACATGATAACAAAGGTATCCCAACTGTAGCTGTGAACATGACAGGATGTATGATTACCTAGAAGAGCATCAGGACTGTTTGAGGCATATGATAGCTATGTGATTAACATGATGATTCAGCCTCTATGGAGATAGACATATGACAAGCATGCTCATTTCTGACGTGGAGCTAATCTGAAGTAAACATTGAATACTGCTTTCTATTCCTCCATCTTGTGACTGTGTAACTCCCTCTCTTGGATATCAGCATGTGAAGGACACTGTTCAGGAACTAGTTGATGCTCTGTATGTGATGACTACTTCCATTCTGGAGAGGATCACAGATACATGGATCCTGAGGTTGAAGCTCAAACTGGGGACCAGTGATTATTAACATTTTTAAGTATTCAGAAAAAGTCAGAATTTTGAGATTCTTGAGAAAAAGTCCGGATTTTGAGATTTTGAGAAAAAGTCCGAATTTTGCGAAAAAGTCAATTTTTTGGAGATTTTTGCGAAAAAGTCACATTTTTTGAGACTTTTGAGAAATGTCAGATTTTTTTGAGAAAAGTCAGCATTTTTTTAGATTTGTGTGTAAAAGTCAGATTTTTGAGATTGAGAAAAAGTCAGATTTTGAGAAAAAGTCTGATTTAGGAGATTTTTGAGAAAAAGCCAGATTTTTGAGATTTTGACTACTTCCATTCTTGAGAGGATCACAAATACATGGATCCTGAGATTGAAGCTCAAGCCGGGGACCAGGGAGAGTTTTCTAACACTTATATATTAGTGTGTGTGTGTGTGTGTGTGTGTGTGTGTGTGTGTGTGTGTGCGCGCTGACCTTAGAGTCGTAGCTGTAGCCGCTGTCCGGCGTGGACGCCAGCGTCTCGGGGGGGGAGCAGCGCACGGACCCGGAGGTGGAGGAGGAGGCAGAGGAGCAGGAGGAAGAGGAGGAGGAGGCGCAGCTGCAGCACAGGATCAGGTAGTTCCTCCACAGACCCACGTACGAGTCGCTGCTGCTCACACTGTTCAGCTTCTTAGCATTGATGGGGCTGCTGGAGGGGGGAAACACAGGAGAGAGAGGTCAGAGGTCAGGTCAGAACACACACAGGAGAGGTCAGAGGTCAGAACCACACTGAAACATGCTTCACATTATCTGGTTATTAAGTCAGTCATATTTAAATATCTATAAGCAAGAGGTTAAAATTACATTTCCTTCCATTTCCATTTCCAGGAATAGCTAATGTGCTTGTTAGTGTGTCCCCTCGTGGATTATTAAAGGGTCTTCTTCTGATTTAAGTCTTCAGTCCATAATGCCGTCAGATATAATATATACTGTATTGACCCGAATATAAGATTTTCTTTTCCTCTAAAGAAATCTAAAACAGAGGGGTCGTCTTCTATCCGGGGTCTAGACTTTTCGATGTAATTACACAGTCACACCAACAGATGGCGCCAAACGAGTGTTCGTCTTAAAGTAACAGTTCAACAGGAGAGAGAGAGAGATGCAGAGACCAACTCCAACACAGTGGGTCAGAAGTAGGCGAGTTCATAAACAAGAGAGGCGAAGTTACGATCCCAATTTTAAGATAATGGTGATCAACGACGCCGAGTCATCAAACAACCGTCGAGTCGCAAAGAAATATGGTGTTACTGAGTTTAACGTTAGAAGATGGAGAGCCCAAAAAGACCGCCTTCAAAATGTAAACAGTCAGAGACCCACAAAGACCCTTTAAGGAGCCTTTTTCAGGACCTGCTCAGGAACACAAGACTTTTAAGACTTTTCACTTTAAGGGGGTCTAGGAGTTTGTTACACCTATTTTCCATAAAGCTTTAAGACTATTTATAGACATTTTAAGAAACTATAAGACAATCTTAATAAATGTAACACTGTTTAAAAACCTTTTAAGACTTCATTAAGACCTGTTCTTAGACCCTTACGGACCTGTTCTTAGACCCTTTGCGGACCTGTTCTTAGACCCTTTGAGGACCTGTTCTTAGACCCTTTGAGGACCTGTTCTTAGACCCTTTGAGGACCTGTTCTTAGACCCTTTGAGGACCTGTTCTTAGACCCTTTGAGGACCTGTTCTTAGACCCTTTGCATTCCCGGAGGAAGATAAAAAAAACTAGATCTGGTCTTCAAAAAGGTATCTTTCCAAAAATGAGTCTTGACAAAAAGGGGTGGTCTTATATTCGTGTCAATACGGTAACAACGTGCGTGAACAGAGAGAGGCTGCAGGAACGTACTTGATGTCGACCTGTGGGGAGAGCAGCTGCAGGCGGGTGTAGGCGAACATCCAGGCGTAGTTGAGGGCGGAGGGGCAGTGTTTGGGCAGGTTGTCCCCCCGCAGGAAGCTGGAGAAGCTGATCACCCAGGGGTCCTGGCCCTGAGTCACATGGGCAAACACCCAGATGTGGGAGGGGCTCACCACGTCAAACTGGTGGCTGATGGGAGACGAGCTCCACTCAGCCAGCGTCTGCAGGTCGATGCCGCTGGGGCAGTACAGCAGGGACGACTGGGGGTACAGAGAGGAGACTTTAAAGTACAGCAGAGACGACTGGGGGTACAGAGAGGAGACTTTAAAGTACAGCAGGGACGACTGGGGGTACAGAGAGGAGACTTTAAAGTACAGCAGGGACGACTGGGGGTACAGAGAGGAGACTTTAAAGTACAGCAGAGACGACTGGGGGTACAGAGAGGAGACTTTAAAGTACAGCAGGGACGACTGGGGGTACAGAGAGGAGACTTTAAAGTACAGCAGGGACGACTGGGGGTACAGAGAGGAGACTTTAAAGTACAGCAGGGACGACTGGGGGTACAGAGAGGAGACTTTAAAGTACAGCAGGGACGACTGGGGGTACAGAGAGGAGACTTTAAAGTACAGCAGGGACGACTGGGGGTACAGAGAGGAGACTTTAAAGTACAGCAGGGACGACTGGGGGTACAGAGAGGAGACTTTAAAAAACACAATATGTCCTGCTGTCTAAAACTAAAACAGAAAAGAGGAGGTACATCTAAGAGTCTGTTGCACCTATTTTAAGAATATTTAAGACCTTTTCCATAAACCTTTAAGACTTTTCTTCCACTTCATGACCTTTTAAGAAATGTTAAGACAATCTTAATAAATGTAACACTGTTTATAAACCTGTTGAAGAAATGTTTAAGACCTTTTCCATAAACCTTTAAGACTATTTTTTGAGGGTTCATGACTCTAAGACTATTTATAGACATTTTAAGAAATTATAAGACAATCTTAATAAATGTAACACTGTTTAAAAACCTTTTAAAAACGTTTTAAGACTTCATTAAAACCTGTTCTTAGACCCTTTGAGGACCTGTTCTCAGACCCTTTGAGGACCTGTTCTCAGACCCTTTGAGGACCTGTTCTTAGACCCTTTGAGGACCTGTTCTTAGACCCTTTGAGGACCTGTTCTTAGACCCTTTGAGGACCTGTTCTCAGACCCTTTGAGGACCTGTTCTCAGACCCTTCGAGGACCTGTTCTCAGACCCTTCGAGGACCTGTTCTCAGACCCTTCGAGGACCTGTTCTCAGACCCTTCGAGGACCTGTTCTCAGACCCTTCGAGGACCTGTTCTCAGACCCTTCGAGGACCTGTTCTCAGACCCTTCGAGGACCTGTTCTCAGACCCTTCGAGGACCTGTTCTCAGACCCTTCGAGGACCTGTTCTCAGACCCTTCGAGGACCTGTTCTCAGACCCTTTGAGGACCTGTTTTTAGACCCTTTGAGGACCTGTTCTTAGACCCTTTGAGGACCTGTTCTTAGACCCTTTGAGGACCTGTTCTTAGACCCTTTGAGGACCTGTTCTTAGACCCTTTGAGGACCTGTTCTTAGACCCTTTGAGGACCTGTTCTTAGACCCTTTGAGGACCTGTTCTTAGACCCTTTGAGGACCTGTTCTTAGACCCTTTGAGGACCTGTTCAAGAAGACAAGACTTTGAAAAAGTTCTTTTTTTGTAAAATATTTTTAATTAACTTTTTTCAGATATTTTTAAAGATTTTTTTCAAGATTTTTTAGAAGACTTTAAGAACTGTTTTAATACTTTTAAGAACTTAAGCCTTTTTTTAAAACAACTTAAAGTCATTTTTAGGACCACAGCATAAAAATGTAACCCCTATTTTTATCTCATGGTCATATTGGCAAACATATGAATATGAATGACATTAAGTCACAGATTGACTGTATATACATGACACATATATAAGATTAGTACTATAGTAACACATAAGCAGTCGGTCGATACATTTGGCCCAGAATAAAAATCATATTTGAGTCAAATTAAGGTTTAAAATTCAGATAATCAAAGATGTATAATTAGAAAGGTGTGTACCTGGTCGGCTCCTGTGAGATGGATGAAGCTCTCCAACACCGACGCACTCAGTCTGTCCATCACATCGATGGCCAGCTCCTCGTCCCCCTGACACACACACACAGGTCAGTATACACACATCTTATAAACACCTGTCAGTTATATAATAATAAAGGTGTATTTATACAGCACTTTTCATACAGCACGTGCAGCTCAAAGTGCTTTACAACATCACAAGTAAAACATCAACAACAAGAAATTCCCCTCAGATCAGATGTTAAAACCTTTACAGGTACATGCAGCAAAATATAACATTTGAACAGGTTAAGAGACACAAGGAGGTAAAATACATCATAATAACAATAAAACACAGTTAAATATATAATGATTTCTCTTGGGAAGATAAGACTCAAGTTAAGTGAATAGATGCAACAATATAACTCAGAGGGATTGCCGTTAATAACCGTGCCATATACACCTGGCTGCTAAATCCTCACAACTGTTACAGGAAGTGTATTTTGTCAATTCTGTCATTTTTAGATTTGTTTAATCTAACATTGTTTCTCATTGAGCTGTCTTTGGCTCTTTTCTGCTGAAACAAATGTAAACGTCCCCATAAAGGTATTCTGATTGCGTTTACCTTCCCGATGCCCAGGGCGGTGTGCAGCGCGCGGACTTCCTTCAGCACGTTGACGGCCAGGCGGCGTGTTGCCGGGCGACAGCTGCACAGCACCACCAGAGAGAGAGCCTCCACCAGGTGGAGCACGGAGAGGAGAGAGGGGCCGCTGGCAGGGCCCTGAACACACCATCAAGATCCTTTTATTAGTTTTTAGAATACTTTAAGAACTTTTGTAATACTTTTAAGAATTTAAGGCTTTTTCTAACAACTGAAACTTAAAGTAATTTTTAGGACCACAGAATTAAAGTTTAACCCCCACTTTTGTCTCATGGTGATATTAGCAAAAATCGGAATGAATAAAAGTCACAGATTGACTTTCAATTCATGACATATAGAAGATCAGTACTATAGTAACACATATAAGCAGTGGGACGATATACGGTACAGGACATACGGGTCCCTGAACACATCATGAGGAAGGGTTAGGACATACGGGTCCCTGAACACATCATGAGGAAGGGTTAGGACAGACGGGTCCCTGAACACATCATGAGGAAGGGTTAGGACAGACGGGTCCCTGAACACATCATGAGGAAGGGTTAGGACAGACGGGTCCCTGAACACATCATGAGGAAGGGTTAGGACATACGGGTCCCTGAACACATCATGAGGAAGGGTTAGGACAGACGGGTCCCTGAACACATCATGAGGACGGGTTAGGACAGACGGGTCCCTGAACACATCATGAGGACGGGTTAGGACAGACGGGTCCCTGAACACATGAGGACGGGTTAGGACAGACGGGTCCCTGAACACATCATGAGGACGGGTTAGGACAGACGGGTCCCTGAACACATCATGAGGACGGGTTAGGACAGACGGGTCCCTGAACACATCACAGGGGAAGGTATTGAGTGACGCACCGCTGTGTCGTGGCTCTTGTTGCTGCTCTGCACCGCCTGCCTCCATTGGCTGATGAGCTGCAGCAGCATCTTCACGGCGTTGTCCAGCAGCGTGGGGTGAACGTCCGTCACCTCCCGCACGATGAAGTACACGAAGCCCGACAGAACGTCCTCACGCCACTCGGGGAAGTCCACCATGAGAGCCTGGAGCGTGGTGAAGGCCAGACCCCGCAGCTCCTCGTCCATATGGATGGTGAGTCTGGGGGAGAGGGGGGAGAGAGAGAGAGAGAAGAGAGGGGGGAGAGAGCGAGAGAGAGAGAGAGAGAGAGAGAGGAGAGAGAGAGAGAGAGAGAGAGAGAGAGAGAGAGAGAGAGAGGGAGAGAGAGAGAGGGGAGAAGGACATCTCATTTATAAACTCACATGATATAGTGTCTTGAAACAGCTGGCTTTAAAGTTCCCAGGTACTTTTTTTTTCAAAGTATTTTTCGATAAACTTTTAAGACATTTTAAAATATATGTAGGACCTTTTTTTAGGACCTTTAGAATAATTAACGATTTTTTAAAATAACCTTTAATTAAGAAGAAATCTTTAAAATGGTATATTTGATATTAAAGTGTGTTTTACTTGGCGAGCAGCTCGATGAGGTCCTGCCTGCTCATGCCGTCGGGGATGAGTCGGGGGATGGCGGCCACACAGGTCCTGAAGAGGTCGATCTTGGGCTTCCTCTCCCCCCTGAGGCACAGACATGAGGATGAACACCTGGACAGGTACCTCACACTGAACATATGGGTTTATACATCTATATAAAAAGGGACGTACGTGATCATGTCCTCCGGCTCCTTGTTGGACATCTGCACGTTGGTCATGCTCATGGAGCGGCCCACCTCTTTGTCCAGGTGTCTCAGGATGTTATCCAGAGCCTTCCTCATCTGAGGGTAGTACAGAGACATGCCTGCACACACAGAGGAGTCAGAGTCAACACAGAGACGTGCAGAGACAGTGTTAGTGTGCTATTGACAGTAATGGTTCATGTGGTATCTGTGGGAGAAGAGCTTAGAGGAGTTCATGGTTACGTACCGATGCCCTTGGCCTCCTCGTCGGTGAGCGTGGTGTTCAGGAAGATCTTCTTCACCCGCAGCGTGTTTCCTGACGGCATGATGATGCCCGTCGTCGGCATCGGAGGCTCTCCGTCTTTCTGCTGCAGAGAGTCAGCGACCACCAGGAAGGCCCTCAGCCCGATGTTCATCCTCTGGAGAGGAGGAGGAGACCAGAACACTATTAAACACTGTTAGAAAACTCTCACTCGTCCCCAGCTTGAGCTTCAATCTCAGGATCCATGTATCTGTGATCCTCTCCAGAATGGAAGTAGTCATCACATACAGAGCATCAACTAGTTCCTGAACAGTGTCCTTCACATGCTGATATCCAAGAGAGGGAGTTACACAGTCACAAGATGGAAGAATACCGGTTCTTGTAGGTAATCATACGTCATGTACACAATACTGAGTTTTTTCTCAAAATGTTTTTTTTTCTTCTGAAAATCTCAACATTCTGACTTTTGCCTCAAAATGTTGACTTTTTTCTCAAAATGTTGGCTTTTTCCTCAAAATTAAAAGATTCTGACTTTTTCTAAAAAATATGTATTTTTCCAACATCTCAAAATTCAAAAAGTATTCTGATAAACATTCATCTGTTTGCAATTTATTTATCATATTCTATTTACTCGTATATAGACTCTATTTCTATGTTATTTGTATTAACTTGCACATCTCAAAACATTCTCTTGCACTATTTGATCCGTTTTATGTCCTCTATATATTCAAGTTGCTCTGTTGGAGGAGGACTTCAGTTTTTCATTGCCATATTTCCACTGGAGCTGCTGAGCACATGACAGAGACTTGAATCAGGGGTAAGAGAGGGAACAACATGTGAACACTAAGATCCTCTCCTCACCTCGGGGTTGATGGTGAAGGTTTTGTGGGATTTGCCCACACACAGCAGGTCGTAGATGATCTCCTTCATGGCAAAGTCCAGCCTCTCCTGCAACACACACACACACACACACACACACACACACACACACACACACACACACACACACACACACACACACACACACACACACACACACACACACACACACACACACACACACACACACACACACACACAACACACACACACACACACACACACACACACACACACACACACACACACACACACACACACACACACACACACACACACACACACACACACACACCACACACACACACACACACACACACACACACACACACACACACACACACACACACACACACACACACACACACACACACACACACACACACACACACACACACACACACACACACACACACACACACACACACACACACACACACACACACACAGTTAGTGCTGAAGGCAGCAGAATAGACATGATAATGGTCATTCAATTAAATTCATTTCATCCACAAACTGTTTCAAATACATGGGAATCATGATATAGAATACGTGATGTGAGGAAAACCCAATAACCTATCCGAAGCTTGAGGGAAGGCCCTGATATCTTCTGTCTTTTAATTCTCGTTGTTATGATCAATATGAGAGATTATCCATTGGTTTAAGGGACTGATTATTTTTAAAATTAAACATAGCACTGCACATAGCATTAAAATTCCTGCTAAATATCAGTCATCCAAATCACAATATGTTTTTGTCTCGAGGGAAATCATGTTTATCATTAATACAAAATATATATATAATGTTTTTTGAGATAAATAAAATGTATATGAACAAAAAAAGTAAGAATGTGAAATAAAAAGATAAAATCTATTAAATTGCTAGAAATCGCTCCACGTCCTTATTGGTCACGGCAAGATTTCCTGACTGTTTAAAGTGAATCTGACACAGAGAGATATAAATATATATATGTATATAAATATGTAACCTATATATATATATATAAACACAAACAGTGTGCAGTGTTCACCTGAGCGATGAACTGGATGATCTTGACGAAGATGTTGAGCGGAGTGTCTCTGGGAACGACGCTGCGAGAGCCTTTAGGGAACAGAGCCGAGACGATGCTGAGCAGACGACTGGAGAGGAGACAGAGGTTTAGGATGATTTACAGCCAGAGGGTCATCTTTACAGCACAGAGAGATCAGGGACTACACGAGGAGAGACGGCACACATTTACTGCAATTTGGTAGAAATGTCTCTTTTTAATTAATTATATTAAGACAATTATTTTGCTATTTATTGTTTTTTTTCTAAAAAGTCAGAATTTAGACATTTTATGAATTTTTAGATTTTATGAAAAAGTCAGAATTCTGAACATTTTCGAAAAAAAGTCAGAATTCTGTCATTTTTTGAAAAAAGTCAGAATTTTTAGATTTTATGAAAAAAAAGTCAGAATTTTCAGGATTTTATGAAAAAAAGTCAGAATTTTGAGATTTTATGAAAAAAAAGTCCGAATTTTCAACATTTTCAAAAAAAAGTCAGAATTCTGTAATTTTTTGAAAAAAGTCAGAATTCAGAATCTGAACAGTTTGATTTTCAGTAAAAAAAAAGTCAGAATTGTACGATTTTAATCAAAAAGTGTGTGTTTACCTCTGTGTGACGGTGTTGCTCTCACACTTGATCCTGATGATGTAGACCCACAGCAGTCGGTACAGAGACTCCAGAGCCACGCGCGACATTTTGGGGTCTTTGTTCTGCGGGGGGCAACAGAGACATATTAATTAAATACAATAAATATAATTATTTATAAATGTACCCACCTGCTGTTATGTTGAAAAGAATCCTCATACCAAAACAAACAAACTGGGATCCTGTCAGCCTCTCACTGAAGAGTTTCAGTCACACATCTAAACATAAGGCCTCCATTGGACTCCTTTGTTTACTTCCCCAACATAGTGACATCACTATGGAACACTCACGCTCCTATTGCCGGCCAGCTAACCAATCAGAGCAGACTTGGCTCTGGTTTCAGACAGAGGGTGAAAAGAGGAGCTGCAGCACAGGCAGTATGAGAAAAATAGAGCTTTTTGAACATTAAAGACTGGAGACATGTAGAGACACTACATACTGATATGCACCTGAACATCAGCAGGAGAGGACTCTTTAAAGTAGAGACACTACATACTGATATACACCTGAACATCAGCAGGAGAGGACTCTTTAAAGTAGAGACACTACATACTGATATACACCTGAACATCAGCAGGAGAGGACTCTTTAAAGTAGAGACACTACATACTGATATACACCTGAACATCAGCAGGAGAGGACTCTTTAAAGTAGAGACACTACATACTGATATACACCTGAACATCAGCAGGAGAGGACTCTTTAAAGTAGAGACACTACATACTGATATACACCTGAACATCAGCAGGAGAGGACTCTTTAAAGTAGAGACACTACATACTGATATACACCTGAACATCAGCAGGAGAGGACTCTTTAAAGTAGAGACACTACATACTGATATACACCTGAACATCAGCAGGAGAGGACTCTTTAAAGTAGAGACTCTACATACTGATATACACCTGAACATCAGCAGGAGAGGACTCTTTAAAGTAGAGACACTACATACTGATATACACCTGAACATCAGCAGGAGAGGACTCTTTAAAGTAGAGACTCTACATACTGTACTGATATACACCTGAACATCAGCAGGAGAGGACTCTTTAAAGTAGAGACACTACATACTGATATACACCTGAACATCAGCAGGAGAGGACTCTTTAAAGTAGAGACACTACATACTGATATACACCTGAACATCAGCAGGAGAGGACTCTTTAAAGTAGAGACACTACATACTGATATACACCTGAACATCAGCAGGAGAGGACTCTTTAAAGTAGAGACTCTACATACTGATATACACCTGAACATCAGCAGGAGAGGACTCTTTAAAGTAGAGACACTACATACTGATATACACCTGAACATCAGCAGGAGAGGACTCTTTAAAGTAGAGACACTACATACTGATATACACCTGAACATCAGCAGGAGAGGACTCTTTAAAGTAGAGACACTACATACTGATATACACCTGAACATCAGCAGGAGAGGACTCTTTAAAGTAGAGACACTACATACTGATATACACCTGAACATCAGCGGGAGAGGACTCTTTAAAGTAGAGACTCTACATACTGATATACACCTGAACATCAGCAGGAGAGGACTCTTTAAAGTAGAGACACTACATACTGATATACACCTGAACATCAGCAGGAGAGGACTCTTTAATGTTCAAAAATAAGGTTGAATAAAGTGTTAATGAGGTTTTATGAACATGAAATGCCAGAATGAAAATGGAAAAGGTTGTGTTTTGAACTTAAGTTGGATTTAAAGGTGAAACTGGGTATACTTGATACTTTATACATCAAACCAGGACAGGAGTTGACGGGAAGAAAGCACAACCAGCTATAATCTGTTTATCATGAACCTCAAATGACCTCTCGGCTTCCTCTGCACACACACACTCACTACCCATGATGCACCAGGCACCCAGCGCTGCGTTCAGGTGCAGCGCGGCACTCACCTGCAGCGTCTCGATCTGCTTTCGGATGCTGTTGTTAGACGGCATCTGCAGCGAGGCGCCGTGAGAGGAGACAGAGTGGAGGTGGGGGGGGGGGGGGGGGACACATGCACGTTAAAGAAAAACAAACATGTCAGTGAGAAACAGAAATACACAACGGACTGTTTGAGGAGTTAGAGGCATGAGAGGAGGTCCTGATCAGACACTTTGATATTTATTCATATTATAAATTATTATTACAAAAATTAAATACCTCTGGATTGCATTTAGAAAAAAATATTACGGGCATTTTCTTTATTTTTATAAAATGACAAATCCTCTGTAATCTTCGTTCTTAACTTAAATAAAAAAATATCTAAAAAAAAGTTCAAACATTTGAGATTTTCAGAAAAAAGTCAGAATTTGGAAATTTTCAGAAAAAAGTCGGAATTTGGAAAATGGAAAAAAAATTATCATTTTGACATTTTCTGAAAAAACAGTTAATTTTGAGGTTTTAAAACAAACCCAAAATGTTACGATTTTCTGAAAAAAGAATTGAGAATTTCGGGGAAAAAAATAAATCTGAGATTTTCAGAAAAAAGTCAAAATTGTGCAAAAATATCTAAAAATGACAAAATAACAAACCGTCTGTAATCTTTGTTCTTAATTAAAAAAAGAAAATCAATATTTAGCAGCAAACATTTTACATTAACAAACGTTGGGCTTCTGGGAATTAAAATTGCACAATTTAGTCGTATTGTGATCCTTTTGTGTGAATTACATGAATAAATGCTCTTATTGTGCATGACACTAAAACACTAGTCCTACTGAGCTGATATTGCCGTAGTCACGTAACTGAGGTAAAAAACTGATATTAAGAGTCTTAGAGTTCTCTGATGTTTACGAAAATGCATTGATCAGACATCCCCATCATGCCGTTAACAAAACAGTCCATTTGTATTTCAACATAATTCAACATATAGTGAGAATTTAAAAGTGAAACAAAGCAGAAAGAAGGTGTGCTGTGGTTTGAATGAGACACAGAGAGAGGAGAAGACGTACGGGACATTCAGAGAGGGAATGGAAAAAGGTGGAAAATGAATGAAAGAGAAAGAAAGATGTCCTGTTTCAGGTGCAGAGCGGACAGCGGAGGAATCATCGATCATCAGATCCACGAGAAACTCAAACACCGATTCATTTATTTAACCCTGTGGAGCCGCACAATAGTTGATGTCATGTTTTAATAAAGAGGCATCCACAGGGTTAAAATCACTGGCTGGAAAGGAAGCCCTGAATTACTGAAATCACTACTACGCTCAAAAATCATCAGCATCATCTCATTACACCATTTCCATTTTAAGATCAAACCCATGATTACGATGTGAAGGAGAACCAATCACTGAGGAGACAGACAGCCATTTCAATTAATACAAAAAACCACCATAACAAAATCTGAAATCTATCCACCACGAGATCACACAACCTGCAGGAGGGAAATCACTGAGGAGGAGGAGGGTTAGGAATGATTTCTGTGTAATCAGATTACAAGGAGCCATGAACAGACTGGAGATCAAACAGCACTTGAGATAATACTAATGGTTTATAGAGTGGAGCAGGGATGTGGTGTTTGTGTTGGTCCCTGAAGGCAGCATCTCCCTGGTCCAATGGGATCTCTCCATGTGATTTTGGATTATTGTCAGAAAATAATCTCTGTGTTTAGTTCAGCAGAATAATCTCCACATGTTAACAGCACTTTAGATTTCTGAAGTAAGAAGCTAATGTTGGGCTATAAAGGAACTACAGCACGGTCACATGACTTCACGTCACCACTGCTAAGCTAAAGGTGGCTAATGTTGAGCTATAAAGGAACTACAGCACGGTCACATGACTTCACGTCACCACCGCTAAGCTAAAGGAGGCTAATGTTGGGCTATAAAGGAACTACAGCACGGTCACATGACTTCACGACACCACCGCTAAGCTAAAGGTGGCTAATGTTGGGCTATAAAGGAACTACAGCACGGTCACATGACTTCACGTCACCACCGCTAAGCTAAAGGTGGCTAATGTTGGGCTATAAAGGAACTACAGCACGGTCACATGACTTCACGTCACCACCGCTAAGCTAAAGAAGGCTAATGTTGGGCTATAAAGGAACTACAGCACGGTCACATGACTTCACGTCACCACCGCTAAGCTAAAGGAGGCTAATGTTGGGCTATAAAGGAACTACAGCACGGTCACATGACTTCACGTCACCACCGCTAAGCTAAAGGTCGCTAATGTTGGGCTATAAAGGAACTACAGCACGGTCACATGACTTCACGTCACCACCGCTAAGCTAAAGGTGGCTAATGTTGGGCTATAAAGGAACTACAGCACGGTCACATGACTTCACGTCACCACCGCTAAGCTAAAGGAGGCTAATGTTGGGCTATATGGGCTATAAAGGAACTACAGCACGGTCACATGACTTCACGTCACCACCGCTAAGCTAAAGGAGGCTAATGTTGGGCTATAAAGGAACTACAGCACGGTCACATGACTTCACATCACCACCACTAAGCTAAAGGAGGCTAATGTTGGGCTATAAAGGAACTACAGCACGGTCACATGACTTCACGTCACCACCGCTAAGCTAAAGGAGGCTAATGTTGGGCTATAAAGGAACTACAGCACGGTCACATGACTGCACGTCACCACCGCTAAGCTAAAGGTGGCTAATGTTGGGCTATAAAGGAACTACAGCACGGTCACATGACTGCACGTCACCACCGCTAAGCTAGAGGCGGCTAATATTGGGCTATAAAGAACTACAGCACGGTCACATGACTTCACGTCACCACCGCTAAGCTAAAGGTGGCTAATGTGCGTTTAGTCGTCACATTCAGACACTTGTTAGCAACAGCTGTTTTTAAAACCACCAGTGGGGTATTTACCGACGTATTTTAAGTCGTAGAATTAAAATGTCTTCAGCTCGTGTTAACCACAGACCTTATTTTACGATAACAACCAAAAACACATTCAGAAAACCATTGACCTCCAGACCAGGGGACAGGAAGTGAGGAAATGCTCACTTATGTTTGGGTTTCGGGACTCAATTTCATATTTTTGTAAACATTAAATCAAGTGCTGTTCATATGGGGGGGAAGGGGGTACATTCTGATCTTTAGACAGAACCACAGAGCACACCCTGCAGTCAGAGCACCATCACACCAATAACAGAACATTTATTTTGAAGTTTCATGACAAGAATCTCGAGATTCCATCGAATTTTATGCAGACTTTAGCATTGCAGAGAATAAACTAATTGTCATAGTGCAGTATTTCTCAGTGATCAGGGGGGGTTGGGGTACCTTAAGGTGCGACAGGCAGTTCTGCAAGAAGATGTGCCAGTTGTTGAGGAAGAACTGCTTCTGACTGACACACAGGAGGCAGGTCACCAGCGGGTACAGAGCCTGCAGAAACACAGAGGAACATACAGCCATGAGAAATCTAAAACTGCACAACTCATAACGCTCCTGTCAACATGTGTTCAGAGAGGATAAGCGTCATGTTCTTCCTCAAATGTCAGGAGACGTCCATTTCCTTTTTTGCCACTGTCTTTATTAATTTACCACATTGGGAAACACTAGAAACTAGGGCTGTGCAATTAATCGTATTTTAATCTCGATTACGATTTTGGCTTGCAACGATTACGTTTTTCAGTTGAATTATACTTAAAGTTCAGGGTAATCAACTGTTAAAAACATACTGTTCACATTTTTGTTTCAATAAATGGATGTTTTCAAAGTAAATGGATAATCGTTTTTAATAATCGTGATATCAATTATTGACCAAAATAATCGTGATTAGGATTTTTGCCATAATCGCACAGCCCTACTAGAAACACATAAACCCTAAAACACAACAATGCTAAAAAAAAACGATACATAGGCTACATAAGACATCAACTAGCATGGCGTCAGGTAAATTAAAGCACAACACATAATGTTATGAGTATAATAACGTACACAAATATACATGGAACTCATACATATCCTACATTTTGTATTTTATTTTAAATATCAAAATTGTAAATAAATAAATCTGAAAAAATAATCCACTAATAAAAAAGGGTATGTTCTCTGAGATTCAGAAAATAAAGAATAAATAGAGATTAATATGATTCAACACGAATAAAAGGATATTCTCTAATACAAATAAATAAATAAATAAATAAATAAAGTGGGAAACAAAAATAAAACATGTGAGAAAAAATACCGTAATAATTTCCAAGATGTCAGTGGCATGATTAAGAGCTCACTTAAATACAAATAGTTATGGCAATGATGGCATTAAAGCTTAATACAGTGTAATCCTAAATGTAACTGCTGCATCCTGAGAATGTCATGTAAATGTTTTGAGTGATAAACAGAAGGGGGTTTTATGACACTACAGGAAGAGAGGATGAGTGGAAGGAAGTTACGATTAAGGGTTATCTGTGTATGCCATTCTTCTTTGTCGGGTGTGAGTTTTAGCAAACAGTGTTGTGCCATGAGGCGAACCATCTGGCCTCACATGATGAGGATTGAAATGTCAATAACCTTTGATGTCTTCCTATGAGGAGGGTCTGTTTCACACAGAGCAGGGCACTCTCTTTGAGGAGGGTCTGTTTCACACAGAGCAGGGCACTCTCTTTGAGGAGGCGTCTGCTCGCAAGCATTAACCTGTTAAGCACCAAGCCTGTTTTTCATGTTTCAGGCTCGAAAATGACATGCCCAAAACAAATGACTACAACTTAACTTCTAAAAGGGTTATATGAATAATTTCTTTTATCAAAGCAAGGTTACATCTGTGAGTTGGATGTAGAAGTGTCAGAATCAATATAGATGTTTTTTATTTTAAAGAAAATTCAGATTTTACATAGTAAAAAACTGTAAATTATAGTGTCTGTCCAAAAATTATTTTTTACAGATAGTGAAAACTACCCTTGGATGATGGGGTAGTAGACTAAAAGCTTTAGGAATCCAAAGTACAACATATAATAAATACCCTGTATCAAGATTGATGCAAAACAAGTGACATTTGACCTTTTTAGAGAGATTTAGCCAAAACCACCCCACCTCTGAGGTGATTTGGGTGAAAATGTTTTTTTTTCCATATCTCTGGCCCCCCTTGGTCGATTTGGATGGTTGACACCTCTTTCTGACCGTTAGAGCCTATAGAATCGAAGGGGGAGTCCCCCCCACACACACACGTTGTGAAGAGAAGAGGTGGGGGCTTCGCGCATGTAATCTTGCATCAGAGTGGACCTATTTCTCGCTCTGACATTTGGAAACTAAAAAGCAGTTTTAATGCTTATGGATTATCAGAAATCATTTCAAAGAGGACACAGACACATTGGATTAACCTATGGATTAACTGCAGCATCGTTTTTTTATCGTTTTAATGCCATTGAAGACCAGTTTTGACCAAGGTAAGCCATGTTAGCGTTTCTAGCTACCTAGCTCCACATGTTATGATGTACACTTTCGTTGATAGCGTCGCAAATGTTTATCACTGAGCGTTGAGGTGGGCACCCCCAGATTCTGTGTCTCCAGGACACCAAAAACGAGTGGTTGGCTGTGCATCTAGGATAAGTAATAAGGGAGTTATTGTGAGTTTAGGTGCAGTTTTAGGTTACAGTTTTTCGCTCGTGGCTAATTCAGAGGCTGAGTGTTAGCATTGTGGGGTTTTTTTTTGGAGAAATTTTTCAAAAAAGATCAATTAGCCGAGTTTCTTCTCGTTACATGGATATAAAACATTCATAGTTTATTAAATATTAAGATTCCTTAGACGTTGTTTCCTGCAAATGATGCGTTTATCCGCCCGGTACCGGGGGGGGCCGTGCGTAACAGGTTAAACCGCTGCACCCGCACTGCGAGGGGGACCCAAGTTCCCATCAGCAAAAACACGTGGGTTAGCTATCCTGGCTCCAACATGGTGGAATGAGCTCCCCATTGACATCAGGACAGCAGAAAGCTCACAGCTTCTGGAGCAGACTGAAAATCTCTTTCGACTCCACTTCGAGCGATACAATTACTAACAAAGCACTTATATACTAACTAGGGATGCCAGCGATTATTCGATTTTTTGAATATTCGTTACAGTCTCCATAATCGAAAATTATTGTTGCGGCGGCGAATAATCAATGAATATTCGCCAGGGCTGTCCGATTTTCGAATTTGATCATGGTCAGTTTCTGGCATCCCTAATACTAACTAAGGACTGTCTTATCTGAAGACAGTTGAGTAGCACTTGAAATGTTTTGGCTCTATGAAACCTACTTATATGATTCTGTTTTCTTCAAGTTTGTATCTTCTAGAATTCTCTGGGATTATCTATAAAAGAATATATTAGCAAGAAGATTCTCTTTGTGATTAAAGTGAAAAGATTATGAGACCTCCTCAGTAACCGGATGGCTCCACTTTGCAAAGTAGGATGAACTTCATGTGATTCCCTCCCGTACCCTACATCCCAGAATAACCCCCAATGGCCCTAATGAGGCTTTGTGCATCATGAACTAACAATGAGGGTTATTTGTGCTGAACCATTGTGGGAGGTGATGACAGCTGGCTCTGAATGAAATACAGGAAGAGAGAAACAGGAAGCAGTGAAGCTGCAGGGAGGGCGGGGAGGAAGAGGAGGAAGAGGAGGAAGAGAGGACATAATGAAATGTAAATATTACCAGCGAGTGCTTCTTTCTGGAGCTCAGGTCGAAGGTCGTCTGGTACAACATCTCCACGAAGTTCTTCAGGCACGGCACGTTCACCTCGTTCTTCACCGCCTGCACACACAACATGGAGGGTCAATATCAACATTTGTTTATTTTAAAACATGTTCACTTATACTGGCTGTTTTATTTTAGCGCATGGTGGAAAGGGAGCAGGGCGAAGACAATCTGATTTGACCTGCCCCTTCTTAAAAATAAATCAAATTAAAGCAATATTCTTTCAGTCTCAGTTGCTTACAAATACTGAAACATAAAACCAGATCAACAGTCAACTTCATACGGTCTCATGACGCTTTCTTTATACATGTTCTTAAACACAGAAATGTCCTCACAGCCCTTTAAATCATTCGGTAAAGAGACACTCATCTGCTTTAAAGTAGAACTGATGATTAACATTTAATTTGATGCTCAACTAGTTGTTAATTAACATAATAATAATACATGTTATTTATATAGCTATTTTCCTGGTGCTCAAAGCGCTTTACAAACAAGTAAAGAAGATAAATAATGCATGTTAGAGTTGTTATGAACAAGACTTTACTTTAAAAAATAGGGAACGTAGTCCGAGTTAGAAATACCTCATTCTGAGTTATTTAGATACAATTATAGTTTCATGTCTTGTTACATAAGAATAGATCATATTTGTTAAGTGTTATTATGGGAGAATTACTATTCTTGTGGTACTGCTGCCTTATTAAATATATATATATATATATAAATATATCCTTTATTTAACCAGGTAAAAGTCTCATTGAGATCTCTTTTCCAAAAGGGACCTGGCCAAGAGGGCAGCACGAAGTTACAACAGATAAAACACAGACAGACAGGTACAGCTGTGAAACACAAATGAAATGGCACATTAGCAAGTCAACATGCGAATAAAGAAACTATTAAAAATCATTCAAAAACTGGCAACATTTCAAACGATTTTAAGATATACGAGCACTCACACCAATGGTGTCGTGCTCTCTGTCCTTCAAGAGGGACCTGAGTTCCCCATAGTGATTACATCTGAGAGTTTCAGCTCCTTCTGCACATTGCTCCAGGCTGAAGGGGCAGCATATTGAAAAGCTGTTCTGTTCTCACTGTAGGAACCAGCATCTGAACATCATCTGGGGAGCGCAGGCCATACAGACTTTCTCTTTGACACATATATGTGCAAATGTAGGAGGCCCATATTGAGCATATTAAGACCCAAACTCATGTACAACAACTTGCAATAAATCAGCACTAATCAGAGGGTTATTGAGGAAAAACTCTCAACTAATGTCCTATTACTTGTAGAATATGGTCATGTAGAATAAGGCATTAATAAGTGTTTTATAATGACTAATAAAGAGCCAATATACTGCTAATATGCATGTTAATGAACAACTATTTGATGGTGAATTTGTGTACCTTAATATAAAGTGTTACCCAAATTTGTTTTGTATATTTTCTGGCAGCATTCTGTTTTTTGCGTTATGCGTAACTAAAGCCGTCATTCTGTGAAATCTTTAAATGTTGACAGCCTTGACATCACATAAAGAGGTGATTCCTCCTGGAGAGAAACAGGAAGCAGATTTCCTCACCGCTGCCACCGGGATGAGGATCTCCACAAAGAGGCCAGCGAGAGCGTGCTTTATGTCCTTATCCTTCACCTCCAGGAAGTACTGCGCACACTCCTAGAAAGAGACACACACACACGTTGGTGAGATACACACATTTAAATACACAGACGACACACACATTTAAATACACAGACGATACACACAGACACTTTAAGAGACATGGTGAAGCTGGTGAAACTGTTCAGCTGTGAGGAGAAGCTGCTTTTAATAACAAATACAGATTTTATTTATTAGTTTATTAATTCAAATGAAATATGTTTTTACATTTGGTCATTTCTTTATTATAATGTCCGCTCAAGTCCTCCGTATGATTCAACACTCAAGCAGCTTTTTGAAAGTGTGCATGTGATCTTTAAAAGCTCAGACTGTCCTGAACAGCTCCACTTCAACAAGACACTCATTTCATTTGGAAACATAAACCACAGCGTGTTCAATTAAGTGTTTCACTGCTGAATAGAGACTGATGGAAGAGCTTCTCACACACACACACACACACACACTGAATAGGTATATACTTCGACACAAACAGAAATGACTCTGACTCTAGAGCTGCGTTATTAAATAATTTCTGCTCCCGTTGTTTGATAGAGCAGCTAAGGATAAACAGCTAAGGATAAACAGCTAAGGGTAGCAAGTGGGATTCAATGACTCCAGTGTTTCATCCAGCAACTTCTGAAAACACACAGATATACATTTACACTCAGTGAATAAAGGAGTGTGTGTGAGGGGGGTGTGTGTACCTGCATGAACTGGAAGGAGGCCTCGAACTCCTCCACCGGGTACATCTTGACCCTGAAGAACTTCATGCCCATGATGAGGCTGATGATGCTCTGCACCACGTACGGACTCTGCTCCTTCTGACGCAGCTCCTTCAGCTCCGTGATGAACTTCTTCCTCACCGCCTGGAACCTGCACACACACACATAGATATATGTTAACACACACATAGATATATGTTAACACACACATAGATATATGTTAACACACACGTAGATATATGTTAACACACACACAGATATATGTTAACACACACACAGATATATGTTAACACACACATAGATATATGTTAACACACGCACAGATATATGTTAACACACGCACAGATATATGTTAACACACGCATAGATATATGTTAACACACGCATAGATATATGTTAACACACACACAGATATATGTTAACACACGCAGATATATGTTAACACACACATAGATATATGTTAACACACGCATAGATATATGTTAACACACGCATAGATATATGTTAACACACACACAGATATATGTTAACACACACACAGATATATGTTAACACACACATAGATATATGTTAACACACGCATAGATATATGTTAACACACACACAGATATATGTTAACACACACAGATATATGTTAACACACACACAGATATATGTTAACACACACAGGACACACACACAGATATATGTTAACACACACATAGATATATGTTAACACACGCATAGATATATGTTAACACACACAGATATATGTTAACACACACACAGATATATGTTAACACACACACAGATATATGTTAAACACACACACGATATATGTTAACCACACACATGAGATATATGTTAACACACACATAGATATATGTTAACACACACACAGATATATGTTAACACACACACAGATATATGTTAACACACACACAGATATATGTTAACACACACACAGATATATGTTAACACACGCATAGATATATGTTAACACACACATAGATATATGTTAACACACGCATAGATATATGTTAACACACGCATAGATATATGTTAACACACACACAGATATATGTTAACACACACAGATATATGTTAACACACACACAGATATATGTTAACACACACAGGACACACACACAGATATATGTTAACACACACATAGATATAGGTTAACACGCACACGGGACAAACACACACAGATATATATATGTATATATATATATATATACATTATACATATATACACATATATACACATATATATATATATACACATATATATATATATATATACACACATATATATATATATATACACATATATATATATATATACATATATATATACATATATATATATATATATATATACATATATATATACATATATATATATATATGTGTATATATATATGTATATATATATATATATATATATAACACTCTACACTGATAAATGCATCTACAGAAAACACATTTATACATCGACACACACAGAAAACACAGGTATATACTCCTACCCACAGATATATACTTCTAAACACAGATACTTCTAAACACAGATATATACTTCTACACCCACAGATATATACTTCTACACACACAGATATATACTTCTACACACAGATATATACTTCTACACAAACTGAAATTACACACATTTATAAATCTGACTCTAGAGCTGCGTTATTAAAGATGTTCAGTTATTCTATAGTGCAGCTGAAGATAAACAGCAAAGGAAAGCAAGTGGGATTCAAACTAACTGTTCTGATAATCTATAAATGAAAGCCGTCTCAGTTCATGCAGCAACGTCTGGAAACACACACAGATCCACACGTAGAGAAAAAGCAATAACAATAATCAGTTGCTCGGCAGATACCGTGTCTTACTTTGACTGAGTGAGGATTCCAATGACCTCGGCGTAAAGGTCTGCGATGATGTGAACATTCCCAGTGTTGGGGCCGCAGTACCTGTTAGGACCAGCAGAGGAACATCAGACTAATGCACGGTACACATGATAACAGAGGTACCCCAACTGCAGCTGTGAACATGACAGGATGTATGATTACCTAGAAGAGCATCAGGACTGTTTGAGGCATATGATAGCTATGTGATTAACATGATGATTCAGCCTCTATGGAGATAGACATATGACAAGCATGCTCATTTCTGACGTGGAGCTAATCTGAAGTAAACATTGAATACTGCTTTCTATTCCTCCATCTTGTGACTGTGTAACTCCCTCTCTTGGATATCAGCATGTGAAGGACACTGTTCAGGAACTAGTTGATGCTCTGTATGTGATGACTACTTCCATTCTGGAGAGGATCACAGATACATGGATCCTGAGGTTGAAGCTCAAGCCGGGGACCAGTGATAATTAACATTTTTAAGTATTCAGAAAAAGTCAGAATTTTGAGATTTTTGAGAAAAAGTCAGAATTTTGAGAAAAAGTAAGAATTTTGTGAAAAAGTAAGAATTTTGAGAAAAAGTAAGAATTTTGAGGAAAAGTAAGAATTTTGTGAAAAAGTAAGAATTTTGTGAAAAAGTAAGAATTTTGAGGAAAAGTAAGAATTTTGTGAAAAAGTAAGAATTTTGAGAAAAAGTAAGAATTTTGTGAAAAAGTAAGAATTTTGCGAAAAGTACGAATTTTGAGAAAAAGTCAGAATTTTGAGAAAAAGTAAGAATTTTGTGAAAAAGTAAGAATTTTGAGAAAAAGTAAGAATTTTGAGGAAAAGTAAGAATTTGTGAAAAAGTAAGAATTTTGTGAAAAAGTAAGAATTTTGAGGAAAAGTAAGAATTTTGTGAAAAAGTAAGAATTTTGAGAAAAAGTAAGAATTTTGTGAAAAAGTAAGAATTTTGCGAAAAAGTAAGAATTTTGAGAAAAAGTAAGAATTTTGAGGAAAAGTAAGAATTTTGTGAAAAAGTAAGAATTTTGTGAAAAAGTAAGAATTTTGAGGAAAAGTAAGAATTTTATGAAAAAGTAAGAATTTTGAGATTTTGAAAAAATGTCAGATTTTTAGGAAAGAAGTCAGAATATTTAGGAAAAATCTGAATTTTCTGAAAAAAGCCAACAAATGCTCTGTATGTGATGCAACTTCCATTCTGGAGAGGACCATAAATACATGCATCCTGAGATTGAAGCTCCAGCCGGGAACCAGGGAGAGTTTTCTAACAGTAACTAAAGCATTGAAATAGAGAATTGTCTGCAGCAGGTAGGAACGTCACCTGCACCTCATTTAAGTGGCAGATACTGTAATTCAGAGTTAGCTCTATAGCGTCCTCTTTCTTCATGACAATGACGTCACTAATAGGCAAATTAATGCATGACGTGATGTATTGACTTGTAGCCACTTTGAGGCTAAAAGCTGCTGCTGGACAGAGTTTCTGCACAGCACTGCATTTCCTTTTGAAAAGTTAGACTATTGAGTCTTTTATTTCCACTGTAGGAGAAAGAGACTGCAGAGGACTGACACTGCTAACAGGGACAGAAAACATGATCAATGGGTGACTGACACAGAAATCATTTTACCTTCAGTGACACAAAAAACACAGAGCCACTCCAACAGGAAAATAAAAAAGTTTGTTAATTAGTGTGTTTTTGTATACGTGTGTTTCTGCTCACTTACCCCTCTTTGTGTTTAAAGTGCTTGAACGCCAGGTGGAGGACTTCATGTACGAGAACATCTGGCACTGGGTGAAGAGGAATCTGTGGACATGGAGATATTAGAGCCACTGATACACTTTCTACCATTAAACACACACACACACACACACACACACACACACACACACACACACACACACACACACACACACACACACACACACACATTTATTCTCTGAGTCAATCACTAACAAAACTGCTGTTTCTGTAGCACAACACATACATTAAAGAGGACATAATCTGCTCATTTATGGGTGATATCAGTATGTAGTGATTCTACTTTAAAGAGTCCTCTCCTGCTGATGTTCAGGTGTATATCAGTATGTAGTGTCTCTACTTTAAAGAGTCCTCTCCAGCTGATGTTCAGGTGTATATCAGTATGTAGTGTCTCTACTTTAAAGAGTCCTCTCCTGCTGATGTTCAGGTGTATATCAGTATGTAGTGTCTCTACTTTAAAGAGTCCTCTCCTGCTGATGATCAGGTGTATATCAGTATGTAGTGTCTCTACTTTAAAGAGTCCTCTCCTGCTGATGTTCAGGTGTATATCAGTATGTAGTGTCTCTACTTTAAAGAGTTCTCTCCTGCTGATGTTCAGGTGTATATCAGTATGTAGTGTCTCTACTTTAAAGAGTCCTCTCTGTTCAGGTGTATATCAGTATGTAGTGTCTCTACTTTAAAGAGTCCTCTCCTGCTGATGTTCAGGTGTATATCAGTATGTAGTGTCTCTACTTTAAAGAGTCCTCTCCTGCTGATGTTCAGGTGTATATCAGTATGTAGTGTCTCTACTTTAAAGAGTCCTCTCCTGCTGATGTTCAGGGGTATATCAGTATGTAGTGTCTCTACTTTAAAGAGTCCTCTCCTGCTGATGTTCAGGTGTATATCGGTATGTAGTGTCTCTACTTTAAAGAGTCCTCTCCTGCTGATGTTCAGGTGTATATCAGTATGTAGTGTCTCTACTTTAAAGAGTCCTCTCCTGCTGATGTTCAGGTGTATATCAGAATGTAGTGTCTCTACTTTAAAGAGTCCTCTCCTGCTGATGTTCAGGTGTATATCAGTATGTAGTGTCTCTACTTTAAAGAGTCCTCTCCTGCTGATGTTCAGGTGTATATCAGAATGTAGTGTCTCTACTTTAAAGAGTCCTCTCCTGCTGATGTTCAGGTGTATATCAGTATGTAGTGTCTCTACTTTAAAGAGTCCTCTCCTGCTGATGTTCAGGTGTATATCAGTATGTAGTGTCTCTACTTTAAAGAGTCCTCTCCTGAATACCCTTTTGTATTCTTCACCATAGTAAATAGAATACGTAGTCGCAGCTCTACTGACTGTTTAACACATGTCACTGTTTACATAACAATCAATGCATTGTTAACGTATCTGCTTCTATTGATCCTCAGAGTAATCACCGCTGATAACCCTCACACAGACCCTCTTTCACGCTACATGTGATTCAGGTCGTCTCGTCTGATCTTACAGACATCCTATCTTTTTATGAGTTTGACCGTTACTGTAGGAGCTTTGTATTGCCGACTGTTAACCTACATCAAGTATCATAAAGTCAAAGTGAAAGTACGAAGGTGAGTAACTGAGAGCTCAACACTAAGAGACAAATGTTATATCTGTGTACAGGGAGTTAAAGAGGAAATACAGAGCATTAAATACATGAGTGCAATCACACAAGTGTCTAAATGCATAAAATAATAAATACATGTACAAGCTAATAAAATCCAATAATATGTCACTAATAACTTATTAATTTATTTGTATTTTATTAATTTGCAATTTATTATATATTTTTTTATTCTTTGATGTACTTTATATATTAGATTTGTTCCCCTTTCCCCTTTGGTCTTTTGTTATATTTAACATATTTATTAAAGCACTAATATATTTATTATATTGGCAGCTTTAGTCCTCCATACTTTGTGTAGTTCAGATCAATATGAGGTCAAACAGCTGACCGTTGAGGCCTATCCACAAGCTCAACCTCCTGCACATCAACACACACTCCATTCTCAAACCACGTCTCTTCCCACTGGCCTTTCCCCCCTGATCACATGACACGTCCTCTGCTCTTATTGGTTATATGTGACCTGCTCCATCGAAATCAGTCGCATTGACCCGAAGACACATTTTGAGTTGTATACGCTAGGGCTGTGCAATTAATCGTATTTTAAATCGCAATTACGATTTTGGCCTGCCACAATTACGAAAACAACATAATCGAAAAAAACGATTATTTTGCTTTGCTTGGTTGTGACTGTGCAACATATTTGATCTAATTTATTTGTATTTATCATATTTATATATGTTTAGTAGCTTGGGGAAGTGCGCTCCAAAATATTTGTTGATCTTGTTTATTGGTATTTATTATTTTGATATTATTTATTTAAATGTATCATTTATTTTATTTATTTTTGTATTGGTTTTTTAGTTGAATTATACGTTCAGGGTAATCAACAGTTAAAAAGATACTGTTCAAATTATTATTTGTATTTAAAAGTTCAATAAATGGATGTTTTCAAAGTCAATGAATAATCGTATTTAATAATCGTGATATCAATTATTGACCAAAATAATCGTGATTATGATTTTTGCCATAATCGCACAGCCCTAGTATACACGCTGCTGGAAAGAGGAGATTCCTAGCTTCCTAATGATATCAGGATTGTTGTTGTTCTCCAAATATTAAGCAAAAATATGTCACATGATATAATGACTGTTAGTCATCATGTTGAGAAAAAGGCCTTCAAAGTTTCCTCTTCTCTGGAATCCATCGATCTGATTGGTTATTAGCAAATGATAAAAGTACTACAGAGGGAGGATATTTTCATTTGGATTCCTGCTCTGGGGGAAGCTTGTGAGAGCGCGTGTGTGTGTGTGTGTGTGTGTGTGTGTGTGTATACGTGTGTGTGTGTGTGTGTGTTTATGTATTTTTGTGTTTGTGTGTATTGTGTTTGTTTCCCGGGGAAAACACTCAGGAGAAACACCGGCTGTTGTTACGCCTGCCGTGACGTTAAGTTACTCCGTTCTCCGCTTGTAATTATGTCTACAAGCTTCTAAGTTGTATTTATCATCTGAATTTGCCGAAACAAGTTTAATATTCTGAAAGCCAAGACTTTGTTTATTTGAAATCAGATGAAAACAAACTGTAACGGACCCTGCCGTGTTATCTATGATTACTATACGCCTTGCATTCATAATGTCAGCGGAGGGAGGGGGGGCGGCGTGTGGAACAGCAGAGTGAGAGCCGTCATCTTCCCTTCACAAGCTTCAATGTATTTATCGTGTGATTTTGGAAATAAAAGTTTCATATTCTGAAAGCCAAGACTTTGTTTAATTAAAATCAAACGAAACACCCGAACCCCGAAAAACTAGTTTTGACGCAAATCCACGTTTATTTTGAAACGAGCCGTTGAGACTTCGACTGACTCCCATAGAGCGGGTCACTTATTGTCTTGTTGTTCTGCTGGTGTTTTGTTTGTGTTTGTGTTTCTTGCACGGTGACTTTGAGAGCCTTGAAAGACGCCGATATAAATTAAAAGCATTATCATTATTAACTGTGACTGTGACAGACATCCAGCTGATGAACTCGTATCATCATCACAGTAAACACATGTAAACATGCAGAGGGACGGAGAGCTCACCTGTTTCAGAACTTCTACAGACACTAAACAAAAAATGAAATCTATGGCTAAATCCCTCCGCTCCAGCAGGAAGTCTTTGTCCCGATGCAGCTCGTCTCTGCAGGGGGGAGGGAGGAGTTAGAGACATCATACATCTGGAGGAGGGGGGGGGGGGGGGGGGGGGGGGGGGGGGAAGTATGCATCATGGTGTCTCACCCCTTGGACTTGGTGCTGGACCTGGGTCTGTACTCGTAGGACTCGTCCTCCGTGCCGCTCTGCCTCCTGTACCAGTCGAACAGAGTCCTGAGCAGAGAGGGCAGGCAGTGCTCTGCTATGGAGCTCATAGAGCTGATTAACTGACAACAACAACAACAACACGTTAGACATCAAACCAAACACTGGTGGCCGATTTTTATTGTTCAAAATCAATACCTGTCTAATATGCGAATACAATATTACAATACTTGGGGATTCTACAAAAGCCTTGATAGGTGAGCACATTTTTTTTTCTTGTGATCATTTTATAAATCTGATCAGAGCTGATCTCACCGATCAGTGGACAAATGGAGATATTGATTATAATCAGGAGTGTGATGTGGACACTACAGAGAGATAAGCTCAACTGTTGTACACATCGAGGTACTTTTACTGAAGTATTTCTCCTTTTTCTGATCCTTTAAAAACTCAAATATACTTTATTTTGTAACTCTAATACCCAACAGCTTTGATTATGTGTCATAATACAGCTTTCACCGCCCTTTCTTTGACAGTTCAAAAAATACATGTTCTTCATTAAATATTGATGTTTTTGACACTTTTTAAACACCAGACACACACAGGATCTTGTGGGTTCCTCCGTCTACTTACGTGTGACAGAACGGCAAGAAGCATTCAGTCAGTTATTTAATGGATAGACTTAAATATATCCTAAAGTAAGTAAGCTTTTAAATGCAGGACTTTTATATAGTGGTAGTATTATAGTGGTGGAGTATTTACACAGTGAGGTATTATTACCTTTACTGCAATGAAGGGTCTAGCTGTGTAGTAGAAGTCGTTTTTTCAAACCTTCCTTTAACCAGGTGAGTTACGTTGAGATAACATAATACATTTTCCACGGGAGCCGTTCACAAGTTAGAAGCAGCTGTTTTTCAAAGTGCAATCATTTCAAACAGTTAAAATGTAATATATATATAAACAAGCAGCGTGAGACACAGAGAGCAGTCAATCCTGCTCCTAACGAGTAAACACAGAAACCAGACATCAGCACTCTGATACCTCAAGATCAGAGAGGGAACGAGGCGCGGTGTGTGTGTGTGTGTGTGTGTGTGTGTGTGTGTGTGTGTGTGTGTGTGTGTGTGTGTGTGTGTGTGTGTGTGTGTGTGTGTGTGTGTGATGATGGAGAGTTATGAAGCTGCTCTGCCCTGATGGCGCCGTGCAGATGCTGCTGATTTACTGCTGAGGATGACACAGCGTTTCTCTCTGTTTCTCCCTCTCTGTTTCTCTCTCTCTCTTCCCTCCCTCCCTCCCTCCCTCCCTCTGTTTCTGTTTCTCTCTCTCTCTCTCTCTTCCCTCCCTCCCTCCCTCCCTCTCAGGTGGGGTGGGGGGGAGAGTTGGATCTCTACAGTGTTCTGCTGGCTGCACAAAGTGTTCTGCAGCTCCTTGTCTCCACAGAGCCCTGCAGCAGACGGGACACTTCAGAGATAAAACTTCACTTTCTGTCGTCTCCCATTTTTTTTTAATAATATTTTTTAAATTGAATTAAATAAACCTGGTATTAAAAATAGGATTCTTTAATTTAAATGTATTTTATTTTATTTGTATATTATTTTTGGAGTAATAAAGAGAGAAACATTTCTTAAATCTTGTTTTGTGAAATCAAAGAAATGGTATGAATGACATTTATTTTTTGGGGGATTTTTGGGAGAAATCTCGTCGGATTTTCTGAAGAAATTACGAGATTTCTACCAAAAAATCTCCCAAAAAATAATATACAAATAAAACAAGAAAATGTTAAATGAAAGAATCCTATTTGTAATACAGAGTTTATTGAATTACATTTTTAAAATATGATTTCATTTGATAATAAAAAGAGAAAATATGTTCTTAATATTTTTAGCTTGAGAAATAAAGAGGAAACGTTCTTAAGTTAAAGGGGACCTATCATGCAAAATGCACTTTTGTACGTCTTTTCTACATGAATATGTGTCCCCGGTGTTCCAGGGAACTCACCAAGTGTCAGAAAACACAACCCTCTCTATTTTCCTCCATACCCAAATCTCTAAAAAAGGGGCTGCAACGGATCTGATAAAAACTGATCCAGATTTGAACACTGTCCTGACGTCAGGACGGTGGCGCTACGGCTATTGGGCCAACTCCACCAATCAGGAGGAGACAGCCACGGCCATTGCCGTTCCAAAGCGCTGGAGACGCTGTAGTACATATGCCAGGCCTGTAGATGGTGCTGTTCTCACTGAATCTGCCCTTGCTAAAACAGAGCTAGAAAAAAGTGCAATTTGAGCGAAATGAGGCATGGCTAAAATGCATGATCTGTTTGGTATTTTGAAAAAAGAAAAGTATAAATATGCCTTATATAGGTATGGTCCTACACTATATTATTATAATATAGCATGATAGGTCCACTTTAATAAAAGTTGCTTCAGGAATCCCCCCTAAAAACTGACATTGCATTCATTGTGATTTTATTTATATCTTAATGTGTGCATATGTTTAAATGTGTGTTGATTGTGTATAAATATATATACATATTTATATATACATTTGTATTTTTTATTCCTCAGATTGTGGGAAATGTTATTTCGATCTCCGTCTGAACACACAAACTTAAAGATTGACAATAAAGTTGACTTTTTTCCTGCGAGATATATGGCGATTTGAAAAACATAATTTATCACTTCAAGTATTTGTAATATTTCAAATCAATCTGTAAACATTTCCATCATCACTTCCAGGTTCAGAACAGGACTCTCTGAGCTGCAGCCCGAGTATCAAAGCATGATGTTGGTGAGAGTGAGGAAGTCAGATGAGTTTGCATCGTGCACTGACCTGATCAAACTGAGCGTCTTCCCCTCTCTGCAGCGAGCGGGACAGAGGCTTCTCCTGGGGGGGGGGACAGGTAACATGTTAGAGCTGAGAGTACTGAGGACCAGAGAGAAGGCTTCACTGTGTTCATGAGGAGGAACATGAGCTGGAAGGAAGGGATGGAGTTAGTTAATAGAGCTGTTATTGTCATTATGGATCGTCTGCGTGTTGTCTTCTAGAGTCGTGGTTCGGAGTTTCAAATGTTAGAAATATTTAACAAAGTCCATCCCAGTTCCTCAGAGTCCAAGGCGATGAGTTCAAATGTCCAAAGATATTGCGCCTCGAGGACTCGAGCTCTTCTTGAGTTTGTATCTTCATGTTTAATTGCATTTATTGTAATTCTCTAGATCAGGGGGTCAAACTCAATTTCATCTCAGGCCACATCAGCATCATGGCTGCACTCAAAGGGCCGGGTGTAACTTTAAGACTTTATAAAAATACATATTTAATATATAAAATAATATATTAAATCACATGATTGCCTCTGCATTGGATTATTATCTGATAGGGTAATAACTTCATCATTAACTACGACTGAAAGCAGAAGTCTAGGACAAGTCATTGCAAGTCTCTTCAGTGTCAGAAAATGAGATGCATTGTGGGACATGTAGTTTATGGGCAACGTGCTTCTGTAAAGCGGCACGTAACCGTATAATAAACTTATTCTATTCTTTCAGAGCTCTTGAGGGCCATAAAAAATGAAGTCTTTAGTTTGACACCCCTCCTTTAGATGCATCAAGCCTCATCTAACTGCAGTGAAATGTAGAGGCAGTGACCCATTGACATCA